CCTCGGAGGCGAGAGCGACGGTGACGGCGTTGGTTTGTGTGCTGCCTCAGTGGAAATACCCGAGACGGGATGACAACCGTGTCCATCCCCGCGAGCCCTCACTTCAAACCTTCCAGCGGGGCTCAAGTAGCGCCAATTTGCCTCAGACCCTCACCAGAATCTCGTGGCGATTGGATGTCCGCCCAGGCAATCGAGCGGAATGTTTTTGGGCTGAAAGATCTGAGCGACGTAGTGACGTGTGTTGATGTCGTTCTGTATGTCCACAAAGAGGCGAAGAAATACGGAATCGAGGTGAAGTGACCTGGCCAGATTGGGCTGACCACGTCGTACGACAACCTTCGAATCGATAGCAATTCTAATGTAGCCACAGCAACAAGTCTACATTTCAGATTCAGCTAAAAAAGAGCAAATATCAGTCTTCGCGATTACCGACCGCAACGGGAAAAAGTGTCAACACGTGCTAAATATGACCTTGATGAAATAAGCCGTAGCCGTAAATCCAGTCAGCTGATAGTTCCGAGCAGGCGGCGTTGCCATAATTGCTGTATGACTGATTGTTTGTCTGCTTCACACGGGTTCTTGTGCTTTCACTCTGACCTCGTCTAACCGGCTCTATCGGTCTCGCATTCCGCTCGCAGGTATCAGGTTTCATCCTGCAATACAAACTCGTTGAATTACGGCATAACTCTGGTCAATCCGTTCACATATTCACACACCCATTAAAATGTTCAAGCAATCTCTCATTGAATAATTCAGATGCAACATAAGCAAGGATTGTCTTTCAGAACTAGACTCAATGGGTCGACTAATCATTAATTCTATCTTTTATAAAAGTCTCACTTTCTCATTCACTCCTTCACTCACCTACACGCTTACTAACATATTCACTCAATCGCTTTCACCTCCATTTACTCACTCACTCATTCATTCACTAATACATTGACTCAATCGCTATCACACTTATTTACTCACTCACTCACTCACGCATTCATTCACTAATACATTCATTCAATCGCTATCACAATTAATTACTCACTCACTCTCTCATTCATTCAAAAATTCATTCACACAATAGCTATCACCCTCATTTACTCACATACTCATTCATTCACTAATACATTCACTCAATCGATGGAACACTCATTTATACACTCACTCATTCATTCACAAATACATTCACTCAATCGCTAACAGACTCATTTACTCACTCAGTCATTTATTCACTAATACACTCAGTAACTCACTCACTCTTTCATTCACTAATCCATTCACTCGATCTCTATCACAATCATTAACTCACACACTTCCTCATTAATTAATACATTCACTCAATCGCTATTACATTTATTTACTCATTCACTCAGTCACTCAGTCACTAATACATTCAGTCAATCTCTATCACGATCAATTATTCACTCTCTCATTCATTCACTATTACATACACTCAATCGCTATCATATTTATTTACACTCTCACTCACTCATTCATTCAATTATACAATCATTCAATCGCTATCAGAATCATTTATTCACTCACTCATTCATACAATAATACATTCACTCAATGGCTATCACACACATTTACTCACCCACTCACTCATTAATTCAATAATACATTCACTCAATCACTAATACACTTATTTATTTACTTACTCACTCATTCATTCACTAATACATTAACTAAATCGCTATCCACCTCATTTAGTCAATAACTCATTCATTTAATAATACATTAATAGATCGCTATCACACTTATTTACTCACTCACTCATTCATTCAATAATACAATCACTCAATCACTCTCTCACTCCTTCATTCACTAATACATTAAATAAATCTCTATCACACTTATTTAATTAATCACTAATTCATTGAATAATACATTCACTAAATCGCTATCACCATTATTTACTCATTCACTCAATCACTCACTGACTCAATCATTCAGTAATACATTCACTCAATCTCAAATACACTCATTTACTCATTCATTCAATAATAAATTCACTTAATCGCTATCACACTCATTAACTTACTCATTCACTCATCCATGCAGTAATACATTCACTCAATCGATATCACACTTATTTCCCATTTACTCATTCATTAACTAATACTTTTACTCTATAACTAGAATACTTACTTACTCAC